CAGAGGATGCTCTCTACTGTCGCTCTGTAGAAGTTTGCGAGCAACTAAGAGGAGAGACCAGCACGTTTCAGCTTCCTGAGGAAGAACCTTTGCTGGGCTTTTTTCACCGGGTAGGACGTGTTCAGAGACCAGGTCAGGTCAGATGTGATGTGGATGCCCAGGAACTTGATGTTATCCACTTGCTCCACCACCTCCCCATGTATGAGAAGAGGAGCATACATTGTCTTCTTGGACCTCCTATAATCCACAATGACCTCCTTAGTCTTATGGGTGTTCAGGAGAAGATTGTTATCTGAACACCACCTTGTCAGGTGCTGGATCTCCTCTCTGTAGTGAGTCTCATCATTGTCTACGGTGGTGTCGTCTGCAAACTTCACTACTGTGTTTGTGCAGTGAATGGCATAGTAGTCATGGGTAAACAGAGTGAAGAGAACTGGGCTGAGCACACAGCCCTGTGGTGTAGACCAGTGTGGATGATGTGTGGATGATGTGCAGCTTCCAATTCTCACCACTTGAGGCCTGTTAGTGAGAAAGTCCTTAATCCAATGACACAGTAACAGAGTGTTTTTACACAATGGTATTGCTACTTTTACTTAAGTAAGGGATCTGAGTACTTCTTCCACCACTGTCAAACATTGTTTTTGTACTATTAATATCACTATATCTAATGTACAGTATATTCTGAGCTTTAATGCTGTGGTTGTTTAAGACTATCCTAATTTTAACTACTTTAATCTACAGCAGTACATCACATTGATATGTAGCACTGCTGTCTTGTGAGAACTACATGTCCACAATAAAAGCCATAGCTTAAAGAAAAAACAAATGGGTCTTCAGTTAAGTGATATTATTTATCTAACCTTTATTCTTTCAGTGACTGAGCTGAGGAGGAAAATATGAATGTAGGCAATGTACTGGGTAGTTATGAATAATCGGTACAAATAACCCCACTGTGCTGCCCTGATTAATTTATTTTCTTTACTACATTACATGACATCTGTCACTACATGTCTGACAGCCCTGTCATGTAATTTAGTAAAACGTCTGGCTGAATTGATTCATTTGTTTATGGTTTACTTCTTGAACCTCGGTGGTTTTCTCAACCCCAGAAAGAACCTCGCTGTTTACCAGGATTAGTATCAGGCTGTTCACATCTGGAGAGGCTGAGGTTGGGGTCCGGGAGCTGAGTGGAGAGGTCAGTGACCTCAGAATACTCCTCCTCCAGCTCTCTCTGATATAACGTAACCTTATTATTAGCTTCTCCAAACAGATGTTGTCTGTGTTAGTTATTGTCTGTATTAGTTGTTGGTTAACGTTCAAATTCTGTTGCCACACTTCTTTCACACTGAAGAGCCACTGAGGAAAACAAAGACAGCCAAAGTGAGAACTGAGCAGCTTCACAGTCTGTGTTGACAGTTTGGCCATTTTTCAGATGGGAACCACAAGCACTCCCTCCTCACTTGGCTGAGATCCCATAGAGGCCTCATTAATATTCACAGATGAAATGATAGTTTAGCAAAACATTATCACTGCTGATTAACTGGGGGTTGCAGTGAGGACCAGATTTTCCCTGGTATTTTGATCCATGTTTTGATTTTGCAAGCATGTTAAACTGGATATGGTGCCTCACCAAGGAGCTAATTACTATAGGTAATGAGTGTAATTGTGCAGAGTGAGATAACAGCAGTGTCCCTTTCATTATATTTTATGTATGTTTGTTCAGACAGGTGTACGTCACCTCTTGTCAGAGACAGGGTTTTTGTTGGACTATATCAGTTGATAGCCTCACCAAAAATCACAGTAACCCCATTTATAGCCACAGCAAGACATGATACTACATGTTTGACATACAAATTCTCATGTGATTTTCTTTATTTATCTCCTGTTTATCCCATTCAATGACTAATTCAACTACACTCCACAACTGCCATCACCTATGTTGCTCATGGCACATGAGAAGTCATTTCTGAAAGCTGCAATAAGTTACTACAAAACAAGCTATGAACACAATGCTGACACATTATTACCTTTTAAACTGATATTCCAAACTTACTAGCAAACAGCCGTCTATGCACACATCCAGCAGATACCAAACAACATAAGAATCCATTTATAACTGTCTCTGGCCATTGATAAATGCAAGTCCAACAATCATTCCCCTTTTAGCTGAGATTTTAGAGCTTTTATGCTGAAAAGTGCTGCATACTGCAGCTGAAAACAACAGTGATGAGAGCAGCAAGAATGAACCAAAACAGTAAAGTTTTGGCCTAGACCAAAGCAATAAGCTGAAAAACACTAAGTTTGTTTGGAAAATAGGTTGTATTCTTTTTCTGATGTATACTAATGATACAAAATGAAACTTGCAAGTCATAAAAAATATGAAGGGTTTGCATCCAGCTCATAACATGATATACTGTATATGATAGCCAGCCTATCCATGCATTTCATGCTGTCACTTGGTCACTAATGGATCAACAACTGGGATAATGGGAAGAGATGGAAGATGATCAAATAAATGTCTCATTCTCCTTCTCTCCTGTGAGCACAGTCAGCTGTGTTATCACGTCTCTCTTCAAATCCATATTCCTATTATGGATGATATGTCTCCCATTAAGATTAGGATAGTTCATGTGTATCTGAAGCTGTAGTTAATATCTCCACATAACATTAGCAGTAGCTTTATTAGGTGAAACTATTAAAGCTTAAAAGTGGATGAGAATTGATGATAACCTTAGCATTTCAACTGAAGTCCACTTGTCACGTATTGATTCATGGTGAAAAAGGCAGAGAGAAAACTGTCTTCTAGTCAATGAGCTTTGACCATGCTGAGGTGTGTGTTTCTTTATGCCTGTGTATTGTTGTGCGAGTGTGTGAGTGATGCAGCAAATTGTCCATTTGCAGTATATCCGATAGGATCAGGGATGTCATTAGTCACAGCGTGCTTATTCTCATTAAATGGCCCAGTTGCCACAGCAGCCCTGCTAAGGCCAGCCCCTCCCCCCGCAGCGCACAGAGAGTGACAGGCCAATTAAAGCAGGACACTGTGACATGCAGTCTGCTGTGACCACAGCTCTAAGAAAGAGGAACCCGACAGGGAACATCATACACCGGCAAGGTCCCAACAAGATCCATCTCAAAACAAATATGATGAACTGGGGCTCCCCAGAGGTAACGTCTGGGCTCCGAGAGCACAACGTCCTCATCCCTGCCATCAAACCCAATTAACTGCTATACCAATGGGGAGAGCAGTACAAACTACACCACCCAGAGGGCTTTGGGCACACATCAGACACAGGCAGGTTGATCGTGTTTTTCTGTGTTTGAGATCTTCATCACTTGTCACACACCACACACACTGCTTTGCCATAATTCTCTCAAGTCTGCATCTTTAGGGGAAAGCATGTGCCAGTCCTGTGAAATACAAGTCATGGAGATGCAGCAGGAAATGAAGAAAATATTCTAATCTTGGAAATGATGAGATGATAACAGAGAAGAGAAAGTGTGACAGATGAATGCGGCATTGAATCTGTCACCTTCTCTCTCATGCATTTGAGATATAACAAACATGCATTATATGAGGAAAAGGCACACGGTACAAGACATATAGTCACTATGAAGTGTAAAGTGATTCTGAAAAAGTGTTTATGCATTTAAAGAAAAGAAACTATCATACACTGGTCCGGCCTCAGCAAACAGGCTGTGACAGAATAGAGTAGCTGAAAAAACAATCACCACCACAAGGTCCATTTAGTAACTGTTCTGGAGCTTTTGATCGCATCACAAATACAATTATCCAATCTCTTTTCAATCTATTTTTAAGCCAGCAAGGAGCAGAAGACCTTAAAGTGCTCAAACCATCCGCTGAGAAAGGTCAAGAAGCTCAGGAATAGCTACTAAATGAATCTTGTGGTGAGAGTGATGTTTCCAAAGTCAAGAATGAATTTTCATTCTCATTAGAAAACAATATAATATCCATGATAAAATATTCTAAACTCAAGGTTCACTTGCTTGCTTTCAACTCAATCCCACAAACCCTCACTAAACCTTCACTAAACTTCAGTCATGATAACAGGTGGACTAACCAAGTCTAATGAAAGTTTGAGAAAGATTTAGAGGATTTAAACACATCTTTAACATCCAATCCTCAAACTCAATTGATGATACTGAATCATCTGTGATAGGAAAATGTAGTTGTGCCAGATTAATTATTAAGAAATGGTTAGGGGTAGGTACCAAAGAGTCCGTCTTTACATGTCCATCCACCACCCTTTCTACCAGGTTACATAAAGCAAACTCTCTGTAGCAGCATTAGTCATTTCAGCAAATAAACAAAATATTGTGTTGACATGTGAGTGACAGCACCCTCCACAGGAATTAGCTTGTTATCTGTCAGGAGCAAAGGAGGAAGTAGTGTGACATTGTTACAGAGCTACAGAGAGGGAAGGTACACTAAGGGTGGCTGGATGGGTCAACAATACACTAGACCTTGCCTAGTCCTCAAACACAAGCAGTGGTGGCAGGAGTAGTCACATACTTTACTTTAGAAAAAGTATCAATACCACAATGTAAAACTTCTCTTTTACAAGTAAAAGTCCTGTAGTAAGTACTGGCATCAAAATATACTTGAAGTACCAAAAACAACAGTACTCACTGTGTCAAATGGCACATTGCATAATAATGTATATCATATTATTGCAATATAATTACTGATGCATTTCATTGTGCATCATTATAATGTCACTGCTCATAAAGGTGGACCTAATCTTATATGCTGATCATTTTAATTACTGCAGGGTGTGTCTATATTTTTGTCCTCCCCAGCTACATACATGAGAGGATCACAATATTAGGAACACCTCTGAATATAATGTAGTCCAGTACAACACCAACTTGAACTGTGGCCTCAATAATAAACATATTGAACATTGAACTTATACATTTATGACAATTTCATCAAAAGCTGAAATGTTTTGAGCTTCATAAACACAGATGTTGAGGCGGAAGTGTTGCATTGAATTCAAAACAATTGTGCAGATGTACCTAATAAAGTGGCTGGTGAGTGTAAACAGAATACAGGTATGTTCACGTACATGGAGAGAAAATGGCAGCTTGTCAAAGCCGTAGGCCATGTCTGCGGCAGGAGCTAAATGCCATTTAAAGCTGGAAGCTACAACAGAGAGAATAGAACAAGGGGGAAAGAAAAGCACAGTGTCTGGGCAGATTGAGCTGTTGGAGTCTCTCACTGCACATCTTTTGTGTTTCTGAGAGAATGGTTCACTGCCTTTTGATAATCTAAACCATGGGGAAAAAATAGTTTTCTTCAGGCAGTGCTGTCTTCCACTGCTAGCTGCTACATGAATACCCTCACAAAAAGCCAGAAACTCACATTTGGGTCACAGTTCTGTATGAATTGCATTTCTCCTTGTACATAAACATATAATTTTTTTTCCATTCTGCCCAAGGAGGCGGAGATGACACCGCACAACAGAAAGGCTGCGAAGGAGTAATGGTTTAATTGCCAGCAAAGAGAAGAATAAAGCAAAGGCTGTGATTGTGTAATAAGATATTTATCTTGTTGTCAAATAGAATTACACCCAAACACAAGGTTATAATTACCAGTGAAAACACAAAAAGAAGCTCGTGAATTCTGCTTTTATTTTTTAAAATGTTTGCTTCCATTTCTCACACAAATGAGGCAAATTATTTTCTCACATTTAAACATAACATGAAGACATTTGTGTTGTATGCACACACATACCACGTTCTCAATTAAAGACCTTCTGTGAAGAGAGAAAAAATACATTAAACTCATGAACATGAATCTCATTTTACATGTTCGTTTTCCCCTTGATCTCAGCATATTGTACACCCTGGATGCACGTCTGCCCAAACACAAATACTCAATGAATACAGGCAAACATAAAGAACAGCAGTCTTTACGTTCCCTTATTAATATCTTCATTCTCATGCATGTATACATGACTGAATCAGCCACTATACACATGCAAACTTCATGTTTGGCAATTAGCAAGATATTCTGTAGCACAGGTTCTTGAGTGGTATAGGCATATGTCAAACAGTTAGCTGATGTTCAGATAAACCTAGTAATGAGTAACCTTAAAAGCTAAAAGTTTTCTGTAAACAATTTGGTAACAAGCACTGCACAGTGCAGCCACAGCAACAAAAAGTGAATACGCTTACCACAGGAGAAGCCACTACGCTTACCGAGCTGTAGCGTTTGCAAAGCAATTATGTGACCATTTAGACTCCACCATAGTACAGATACTGCACTGGTGAAAGTCACCAACAATCTTCTCCCAGCCTCAGACAAGGCCACATAAAGGCCTGGATGACTTGTAATTTCTTACTTCTAAACTCCAACAAAAATGAAGTTATTGTACTTGGGCTGAAAATCTTAGAAATATGCTATCTAAGCATATAGTTATTTTTAGATGAAATAGTTAAAGGAATCACTGGAACCAGTTGTTCATGTGGTGCAAATCATGGTGCGTGGTTGCACAGAGCAGGATGTCCATGGTAGGTCATGCTACATACGTAATTCCTGGGCAGATAGTGTCACTGTTCCCAGACTACAACACCCCTGCATACAAATAAACAGTGTTTGACAACTTATTTCATGATTGCTCTAAAGAACGGCTCTGTTAGGATTGGATTTCAGGAGTTAAAGTTATTTTTCTACTTATAAGTATTATTTTGCTTTTATAATGGAAAAGTTCAGTATGACTATTTGTCTGTGTTTCATTAACAGCTCTATGTATCAGTATTAACCTGGCTCTTATGCATGCATTATAGTTATAATATTCAGTTTTGAGACAACTTGTAGTATTTCTTGTCTTAGTGACACAGCTAACTGCATGTCCATTTTCAGTTGGAAAGAAACGCCTGAAAATAGAAGATAACAACATACACACACACACACACATACTGCCTATATGAACATTCTAGAATACTGACATGCAACGTACCACCCATGTACAGGGCAGTCCCAGCCCGAGAAGATAACTGTGAATGATTTTTGATTATCGAGGCTCTTGGAGACTTGTCATCTCTCAGAGCTCAGCGCTGTAATAACTCTGCATTTAACCAGAAGAAGATAAATCTACGTAAAGCTGATTCCTGTTTCCTGAGTGTTACGTCTTGGGGCCTTCAGATAAAAGAACCAGTTGAATCTAAAAGCTCTCTCTTTTATTTCGTTCTCCCTGATGACAGATAAGTGACTAAAATTTAAGATGACAGGACCAGGTGAGTGAGGAGAGAAGAGGCTCTAAGTGGCAGAAGACTAAGAACTCCAAGAAAGAGTAACGCAAGCCTGGAGTGAGAGTTGTAAAAAAAAATGTCTTCTGGGACTTTGGAAATAAAAGGAGAAGTGAAAAGAAACAGAGTGAAATAGACAGAAAAGAGAGGACAGTGGTTGAAGGGTTCAGGGCAAAGTTGGAGTCTATGTGACAGTATCAAAGCCACAGGAGCAGCAGAGAAAAGCTGTTAACAGGAGCTCACCGTGCCTTAATCGATTGTGAACAGTGCTGCAGAGCACAGCCAATCACAAGAGCTCCTGGAGACTTCTCTGGGTTAGAGCACTTACACGCTGTCTGCTGCCCGATCAGGGAGACGACGCAGGGAGAGGAGAGTGAAAGAGACAGAAAGAGAAAGAGGGGGGGAACACAAAGCGATGAGGAGGGAGGGCAGTGTTATTCAGGGAGAGGGAAAGTGGGACTTGAAGATTTTGCTTTTTTATTGTCGTGACCTTGAAAGCACTTGTTAGGGGATGTATGTTGGAGTGAAAATGCATCTGTCTGTCTGCCTGCCTGTCCCCTTGTCTATGTCTCTGCCAGATAATATTTTAGTTGTCCTTCACATGGGCCTTTTTCTAGATAACAGTAAGTTTTATGCATGACCTTTAAAGGCATGTCACATGGCATCAAAAGCACAGTTGGACATTGTAACAGCGCATTACATTTTGTAAGGAGCTTTCTGAATGGACAAATCCCTCTGACATGAAACTTCTGGAAGATCTTGCTCTTGCAGAATATAAAGTAAAAGCCCCCAGGTACAATGAGGATAAATGTCTACATTCATCAGAGGAAACACCAAGACAAAACAATCTTTCTTAACCAAGACCAATAAAAATGTAAATAGATGCAGGAAAGCAGCTTATATTCTGTCATCTTCATGCATTCCTTTGATCTCGCTACTTTAGGATTGACATTGTAACAGCCTCATTTGTTGTAACAACTAACACAGCATCCATTAAACTCAACAGTTCACAAAGTGATGTGACTTGAGACAGAACGTACTAGACAGCATCTCTTTATGACAACTCAAGGACTAATTTTCATACAGTTTTATGTCTTCAGTCTAATTAACTTTTGCTTGCTGTAATTGGAAAATTGTAAATTAGTGTTGTAACAGCTAAAAAAATGACTCAGTAAATTGTCACTTTCAGTTTATTTTGGGTATGTTACAATCAGAGTTGTGCCATCTGAGCCTCAAACATGAATCAAAGCAGTGTGTCTGTAGGAAAGGTGTTCAAACTATGAGTTTGCACAAATAATATGGCTGTAATCTTTTTTTCATTCATGTTTTCAACACAATTTATTAACAACATTTTACCAGTAAAGAATAACAGAATAATCAATTGTACAGGATCAATGAAGCAGCAGCAGGTAACTATAACTGAGTCATCAGATCAAAGTTTGATGCTCAGTTTGCAGGCACTAAAAATAGCTTCACAGAAAGTTAAAAAGTTCAGAAAATATATTGGAACCAACCAACTGTATCTATCCAATCTATTTAATAGCATTACTACATCCAGCTTTGCCTGTATGGGAAGAACAGAAATGTAAAAGACAGTCTTTGTTCTCTTTGTTCTTATTGCAAGCGTAACCGACGTGTTTGATTCACTTGATGAAAAAGAACAGAGCTAGAGAAAGTATGTAATTCTAGTTAAAAATACTTTAAAATTGTATGTGGCGACCCAGTAAAGAAAACTTTACAAACTGATCATTGATAGATTGACTTTTTGGAAGCTGCTTCACAGGCTAACAGCTGTTTAGCATCAACATAGTGAAGTACGTTTTGAGAGGAACATAATCGGCCCCACATCAATACAATTGAGTCTATTTGTAAATTGTGACACTGAAAATATACAGTAACCTTCTGATTTTGTCATCATGGATATGTTCTTAATTATATACTGTATGTAACTAGTAGCTGAAGTTGGATTTATACTTCTGCTTTATATAACTACACCGTGGGTGATGTGAATTGTAACAAGAACTGTGATTGGTCAGTCTTGGCTGCTGGTGCTGCTTCTCTTTCAAGTTTTAGAAGTCAGCGGAGGTGGCAGTTGAGCATGAAGACAACATTTAGCAGGATAAAGAAACACAATTATCACCTTCTCTTCAGTAAAAGACATCAAACAAAAATATCTCCACCGTATATAGCACTAGTCTCCTAAAGAGTTATGAGACAAGGCACAACATGGACTGATCATATACAATAAAGACATCTAGCGTCAATCAGTGGGAGATCCTGAATAAGTATAAACATCAGGATATCTTGATCTATTTGACAAATCAATCCTGGAACACAGGAGTACTGATTTTTAATGTAATAAAATTACACATATACAAATGTTTGCTTTGTCTATTTAAAACATCAAGTGCATCAACTCTACCTGTTTTCTACCTGTGCCATTTACATACTACACTCAAACTAACATATCAGGTTTCATACTCAAAACCTGAGGTGAGAGGTCACATTTTTTCTGTCTCGCTGGTTTCATGTTTTGGTGAATATTGCCGCCATAATTATCAGTGGTAAACCAATGATGGGTTGCCAGACTGAGACATCAGTCCAGTGGGGATAAAAAGGAAACAGTCACAGGCTGAACCAAACAAGTGCGAGCAGAGTGGTAGTGAAGGGCAAACAGTCAATATCCAGAGCCACCCCTTAAAATGTCAGTTGTCTTGGAAACAGGTGCAGAAATGGAAGTTGTGGATGGTGGCTGAGCAACCCCGGGAGCCACCGTTTAGCAAGAACAACAGCACACAGAGAGAATGTCCCCCCATGCAGCCACGCTGCTCCACTGAAGCACTGAATAGCTGCAATAGAAGCAACCTTGGGGGTAGAAGAGCATGAAACCCAGCAGAGAGGCATCTGACAGTCTAATCCTTCAGCATAATTTATGAAAAGTAAGTGTGGAACTCACAAAACGTGCAGAACTGTGGTGAAATAATTCTGGAGAAAACTTTTTTATCCACATATATCTTAGAAGTGAATATATTAACAACCTGAAATGATGAAGAAGTAAACTTTGTTAAATTCTTTGCCATTTTTGAACGTGAAATACTGGCACTCTGCCTACAACAGACCTAACTCTATTGATTACAATCACATATATAGCATATAAATCCACTCATCACACACTGATCTATCCTATAAAAGAGTCACAGCATTCACTAGAAAAGAACACAGACTTTTACTATTGGTCCTTGTCCAGTATTACTGAAAGAAAGTGACCACTTTACTGTAGACTTTGTCAGTGTGTCTCAGCAGAAATATTGTTCACTACTGCCCCCTGCTGTGAACATAAACACTAACCCGGACCCTGATAACACACACTGTGAACACTTTCACCAGAGGCAGACAGGGAACTGGAATAGTAGAGGTAACATTATTTTGTCCAGATAATACCAAAGTAAAAGTAAGATTACTTGAGTGTGAAATGATTTAAAACTATAAAAGGAGCTAATCTGAGCAGATATTTAATCTGGGAAATGTACAAAAAAAAAAGCATAATGACTGTCAGTTTGATGGCTCCTTAAGATACTTAAGCAAAAATCAACTGCTAAGTTGAAAGCACCTAAAAAAGTTTCCTCACAATTTCT